GGCCGTGCTCGGGGTCAGGCGGCGCCGCGCGCGGTCTCCATGTGCTCCCCTTCTTTGCGCAGTGAACGGGCTCCAGGCTCGGACCTTCGGCGTCTGGACCCTGCTGGCCTCGGTGATCCGCTGCCTCTGCGCCATCGACATCCGCAACAGGACGTACGTAAAGCAGCACCGAGAGTGTCTGGGTTTGCTTGCTACTCACAACCTGAGCGGCTAGCGCAGGGGGGGGGGAAGCAAAAAGCTGTTCCAGAACTCTCGGTAGTGTTGGAAACATTCCCCTGACAAAGCTCAAATAGCACTGCAGGATTTGTGTGTTAACTGCTGCTCCTTCCTCCCTCTGTGGGGACAGCCTGTGCGTTTGATTGCTGCTCTTAGCTCAGGTAGAAATCAGTAGATCTTAGAACTTACTGTCACAAATTTCTGAGCTCCAGCTTGGAAAGCTTCTTCTGATAGCGCTGCTGCTCTGTTAATGAAACAGTTGCTAATGCTGTGGTCTGACTGATGCTCAGTACTTCTGTCACTATGACAGCTTAGCTAAAAATTGTGGCAGATTGAGACACACCTTGCAGTGGTCTTAACTCACTGCTTTCTTCCATACTCTCGTGCCTGGGGCTGAGGACAAGGCCTGAGGTGCAGCCTGATGTTGAGGTGGGAGGCAGGTCATTTATCCCTGTGCTAACAGAAATATTTCTTAGAGGGATTTCCAAGCAGGCTGACTTGGGGTCTGTGCTAGACAAAGCCTTTACTGGAGGGTGCTAGCACACATTCTGTCAATGCTTCCCTCAGCTCCACAGCAGGAGTCACTGTTCACCTAGCAGTATGTCCTTGGATTGCCTGGGCTTGTCTGAGGTAGAGAGGTGGAGGGACTCAATTATGACTTCTAGGGTGTGTGGCAGTGCCAATTACCATGAAGTCAGTTTTCCTTAGAGGGGTTTTATCTTGCATCTCTCGGACCTGCTCCCTTTCAACAGCTGTGGCCCCTAGAGGGTAGCAGAGCACAGGTGGGAACATGTGTTGGGTGATGCAGCCTGGAGGCAGCCAAGTCCTGTCATCCCAGTTCTATTCATCTCACCAGAGGCTGAGATGAATAGAACTTCTCACCTTTTTTTTGTGTGTGCACATACTTATCGCGTCACTGGTGCCCTGCTCTTGCTCTTCCTTCTTCACCTGCCTTCAGGCCAGATAATGACTGACTTTCAATGCACTATTGAACATGCTGCCCCAACACTCCTCAGCTGTTGCCCAGGGAGTTTTTGCATCTCACTAGGCATGTGACCAAGTGCCCTCTGTGCTGCCACAGTGAGGGCACACAGGGCAGCATGTGGGTTTGCCTCTTTTCCACTGAGCCCATACTATGATAACTTCTTTTTTTCTGCTCTCCAACAGCCTCTATCACATCACACTCTTTACCTTCTTTTTGGCCCTTGTTCACTTCCTCTCCGAGGTCTTCATTTACCACACTGCAGCCTTGACAGTTGGAGTTATGGCACCCCTCATGGTAGCAAGTAAGTAGAGCTCTGTATCATCCCCCCACAAGCTCTCCTTGGAACTATGACACCCCCTCGCAATAAAAATACCCCTTGTGGCTATGAGCTCAGGGCAGGGAGGGGATGGTGGAAGGGAACATCTCATCTCTTGTCCAGCATTTTCTACACAAGTCATTCTGTATCTCCATCACAGGTTTCTCCATTATGGGGATGTTGATTGGGCTGCAGTACCTGGAGGTAGAGGCAGTGTCACAAAACAAGAAGAAAAACTGAAGCTGTGGGCTCCGTGTAGGTCAGTGTCATCCCCTGTGTTCACTGCCAGACTTCCACTAAAGCTCAGCTCAGCTTCTCCAGACCACCAGTCCCACTCGTGGATCACTGTTCATTACCAAGTGTTGTTTTCTTGTCTAGACAACATTTCAACTGACTGATGTCAAAGACCAAGTCCCAGAGGAGTTTGTGTCAAAGCTCGTGGGGAGCATTTGGTGACTGACTCCCTGGATAGCAGCCAAAGTCTCAGGCATGCCCAGTACACCAAGAACTTCTCTCCTGGTGTACCTGTGGGGAGAACATGTAGAGCTATCCGGGATTCACTGAACCCTTTGGACCAGAAAGAGAAAACAGGTGCTACTCCTGGCACTGTTGTGTAACTTGCATGTGTGTGCTCCTCAGGAGCCATTTCTAATAAATAACAGAAAACTGCGGTGTGCTATGTTTATCTTTCTTCTACACAGCAGTGGGTAGAGCATGTATAACCTCAGAGCCAACAGCAGTTTCTACTGTATGTTGCAGGATACATCATCTCTCTTTACAGCAAACTTACCTTTCCCTGACTCCTTCCCACAAAGCTCCAGGTCTGACTTCGCACATCACACACACAGAAGAGGGTTGTTGCAGCTCTCTTCCTCAGCATGCTGGTGACAGCAAACTCAAACTATGCATCTGTGAGCAAGGACAAAGCTACCTGTGTAGTGAGCTGTAACTACAGATAGAGAAAACAGGAGCAGGTTGCTTAGACCTAGACAAAATAATGTCCAACACAGATGCGCAGCATACAGAAAGTAGGAAGGAACCAGCAGGAACTCCAAGCTGGGAAGACAATTCACATGCAGAAGAAAGGAAAAACACAGAAGAGAGGAAAAGAGCACAGCAGTAGCAATGGGCAGAAATGATTTTTCCATTCTGCAAAACATTTCAGGCCATTAGAAGAGCCAGATTAAAACCATTTAATATGAATGTGTCAGGTTTCATTGTACACTTCAAATGCTTTCATTTTACATTAAAACTGCTATTGAAAAACTATTCTAAACCCTCATTCTCAATCCCAAACTATCAAAGATAGTACTTGAATGTATCAAAAGACTGTTATAATTTCACCCCAAAAATGCTAAAAATGGTATGTCAGGAGTATTTTTAACCATTCCACCTCATTGCAGTTTTCATTCTTTTCCCCCAAATGATACATGAATAGCTGCACAATTTAAGAAGTATAAGGACACTTGATGTCTCCACCAGGGGTGGCATGCTGGAAAGGAAGGAGAAGCAATACAAGGATCTAGATTTGTGCTTAGAAGATAAAGAACATACAAATGGGCAGTGTCCGTAAGACACAAATGCTGGTAAGAGGGCAGCTTCTCCTGTTGTCTATTATAAAGTGGGAAGCTTCTACACTGGAGCAAATCTGGTTTCCCATCATACCCCCCTCTGTGACTGTGAAGAGCAACACAACCTTGGCTGGTTTTCTCAATGTAACACTTCACAAAAGTTTTTATGTACTGTTGAAACATGCAAAAGGCACTTTACCATTAAGGAGGAAGACACAGTCCTCAGCCCAGGGAACTTGTGGTTTGATTTGCTCCTGTTGCTAATGTAGTGATGAGCTAGGCTTAGGCTGCAGAACTAGTTAGTTCTTGCCTCCAGGTAGGAGGAGGCATATTGGTATCCCTCAATTACTCCTAATATATAGGAACATCAGTGATTCTGAGCAGAGGTTTATCCAGACTAAGAGTGCTTCGTCTGGGAAAGCCACATAATAAAAACAGAGCTAGCAGTGGCCAACACTGCTTTGCACTTGCTGGTGATGTATTGAGGCCTCTACCATCTCCTGTGCAACACAGAGCATCATGGGCACCAAAGCAGAGCAATCCCTCTTCCTGAGAGCCAGCTGAAAGCTCTTCCAGGACTGCTCACCAAGAAAGTGTGGCCCAGCTTCTGCATTCCATGTCACAGCTTGCCTGTGAGAGGAGACAGAGCCACGTGCAATCTGCCACCCTCATGTGCTCAGGGCTAGCCTGGTACTGTGGCTTTTCTCAGCACGTGCCTTTTTCAAGCATACATGGTGGTAGAGGGGTGGGAAACAGTGGGTTTTCACAACTTTTTCTCCCAAGCAGTAAAGTCTCCAAAACAGCAAGATGTAAAGGTGTAACTGAAGAGAGCAACCCCCACTTCTTGTTTTGCTGTCACACTCTCCACAAGCAGTTCACTGGGCTCCTGTCCTGAGGCTGCCACCCCTATCATGTGGTGCATGTCACAGGAGCACGGTGCAGGCAGCAAAGGTGAGAATGAGGGGGGCTGTATCTCCCAGCTCTGCCACCCCTCCATTTCACAGCTTTGATTCCTCAACGACTATGGGATCAGTGTGGGCTTCTGGCAGCACTTTCTGCAAGTCAGACAGAGAAAAAACAATATGGTTAGGATCCTAGGTGGCCAGACCCAGGATTCAGAGACACCAATTGGCCAGAGGCTAGGTAATTCCTCAGACCACTGTTAATACTGCTAGTGGTATCAGCCCCACAGCCAGCTCACTTCACTGACACAAGCTCAGCCTCAAAAAGTTGCAGGGCCAATTTCCTGGGCAAGGGAAGGAGTGGGGAATTCCTTCATGCCATGAGGCAGCGCAGTGTCTGTGCAAACATCAGAGAGAACCTGCATCCTGTGCATCCTCAGGAGGCTCAGCAGGGCAACTAGCTCCTCTCTGTCCTTACCCTGGGATGTCTGAGGCCTCTTCAATGCCCAGACAGATTGCTGGTTTTGCTAATCTTCAAGTCTTTTCATCCCCACCCCCACTGCCCATTCAGGGCTGGCACCCTTCTGCCCTTCTTCCCTGTCCCCAGCTTGGACTTATGGCTGGGATAATTCCAGAGTGGTGCCTTCTTCCAAGTTCATTACCCATACCTTAAAGAGCCATATGAAATAAGAGGCAAACATACACAATTTCTTTTTCTCCATAAATCCTATAGAAGAACTAGCCTGATTACGTGACACCTCTCCAAATTCTGACTGCTTACAGTGAGACAGCCCACTTGTCACCAATTCAGCAGACAGCATGCAGACTTGTAAGGGTGAATGTGGAGTCTCCCAAAGCCTGGGCTCTGAGGTTACTCACTGTGGAGCAAGACTAACATCTGAGCAGGAGTCAGAGGTGAACGCAAAAGAGGTTCACATCCCAGTGCAGTTCAAGAGAAGTCCAAGCAGCATGGAAGCAAGAGATACAAAACAGTTTCATTTTGAGTAGCCTCTTACACAAACTGCAGGTGAAAAGGTTTTATAGAGGTCAGCAGCAACATCCCAAAGCAGAGGAGTGAGATCAGGAAAGCTTCAAAGAGATGTCTGGAAGCAAAAGTCAGGAAGTGCAAAGAGGGAACTTCTACCAGCAGGAGGGATGGGAGGGGTGCATGAAGTAGCGCCAGAAGTAGGAATAAGCGAAAAACTGCATTCAGACTTGGGAACCTGTGCCAGAATGCATCCTAGAAGCACTCTAGCACCTCTGAGCAGGCTCCCCTAGCACCTCTGAGGTCTGAGCACCACTCACCTGCTGTGGAGCTACAGGAGCAGAGGTTTAGGAGATCAGCCAGTCTGCAGGGCTCCACCACTTTGAGAAAGGAAGGCTGCTCTCAGAGCTGGGAGTCACAGTACTGGAAAAGGGCACAGAGATGGCCTGCCTATGGCTTTGGGACAGGAGAAGAAGGCTGCTTGCCACACAGTAAGCACAGAAAGGGACCAGGGGAGTTTGGAAAGCAGAGGATGGGTACACATTGTTTGTGCCTGCTACACAAAATTCCAGCATTTTTTACTGGCAGTATTTCACCAGAGACTAAGCTTCCGAGGGAATCTGCTACTGCAGGTGGATGCTTGTCCCAGTGCCCTAAAGCCAGCCTCTAAATCACACTGGCTGTGGGAGGAAAAAGCAACATGCTTTTGAGTGTTCCACTGCAATCCACCAGATGCATCTTTGCATCCAGGCAAACACACAACCAGCAAAAAAAGGTACTTGGCCCTGATCAAGTCCTGACTTATCCAGGACATGGTTTGAGGACACAGCAGAACTTCAGTCCTGTTTCAAAGCCCGTGCTGTGGATGTACACCTAGAGCAGGTCACAAGTCATGCAAAATCATCCACTCATCAGTGCTCAGCTCTGCACTCCAGGCAAAAATTTTTAATTTTATTACAATTTAAAAACCAGGACAAAAACTGAAACAACTTCACTCCCTATTGTCTGTTATCAATAATAGGTTCTTCACAAACACACACACAAATTGATTTATCTACCACTATATCAGATGGGCACACAGTAGTCTCAAGTGCCCTGAACACACATTAATCAAATTTGCAAGTCTCAAAGCGGCCTAGCAAAGCCCAGTTTGAATGAAAAGACAGTCCTGCCATTTTAGAATCCTGCATTCTGTACGATACCTGCTTTCCTAAAAGCCCACAAAGCTTAAAAGTATTTCCAAACAAATGTAGCCAAAGACTTTTATTGAACAATTCACCCCTAAGTCAGAACAAACCATGGAAGATCAGCAAAGGTGCTTTTTCATAATGCAAAGAAACAATGCAAGAAGACTTATACGGATGCTGGAAACCAGGAGCAAATGAGCACTGGTTGTACACAGCATATTCAGGAGTATAACGTATATGCTCAATCACCTGACACTACTATGAAACCAAGGCACAATGTTGGAATGGCTTCAGATGCACACACAACAAAGGCAGCACACAGAGTCTCATTATCATGTAAAATGGGTGTTTGTTCCAAGTGTCCTGAGATACAGAAAGCTAACCCAGCTAGAGCTCTGGGAACTGAGGCAGACAGAAATGGGAGGATTGTTGGAACCACACTACAGCTTTATTAATAGAGGACAAGGTGTACAATGTCATTAGGCTGATTTAATCTAACTGCAAAATTTGTTTAATTACAATCATAAGCAGATGGGGACACCAATAGAAGACAAACTAATGCACAGCCAATGGTAGTGTTTCAGTGGGAAGTGTAAGGTCTGCAAAACTCTACACCTCTGCATCCTCTGGAAGCTCACAACTGACTCTGAGTGTCAGTCTTCTCCTTGGAACAGCCACAGAATCATAGAATTGTTTAGGCTGGAAAACCAAGTCCAATCACTAATCCAGCACTGCCAAGTCCACTATTAAACTATGTCTTTAAGTGCCACACCTACGTGTCTTAAATACCTCCAGGGATGGTGACTCAACCACCTCCCTGGGCAGCCTGTTGCAATGCTTGACAACCTTCCCAGTGAACAAATTTTTCCTAATAGACAATCTAAACCTCCCATGGTACAACATGAGGTCATTTCCCCTTGTCCTGTCACTTGTTACTTTGGAGAGGAGACTGATCCCCACCTCACTACAACCTCTTTTCAGGCAGTGGTATGGTGTGAAAAGGTCTTCCCTGAGCCTCCATTTCTCCAGACTAAATCCCCCCAGCTGCCTCAGCTGCTCCTCATAAGACTTGTGCACCAGACCCTTCACCAGCTCTGTTGCCCTTCTCTGGACACTGTCCAGCACCTCAATGTCTTTTGTGAAGGGAGGTGCCCAAAACTGAGCACACTACTCAAGGTGCAGCCTCACCAGTGCCAAGTACAGGGGGGTATGACCCCTTCCCTAGTCCTGCTGGCCTCTATTCCTGATACAAGGTAGGATGCCACTGGCCTTCTTGACCCCCCAGACACACTGCTGGCTCATGACCAGCCAATTGTCTACCAGCACCCCCAGGTACTTTTCTGCTGGGCCACTTTGCAGCTGCTCTTCCCCCAGCCTGCAGCACTGCATGAGGTTATCGTGACCCAAGTGCAAGACTCAGCATGTCACCTTCCTCACGCAGCTGACCTCAGCCCATGGATCCAGCTTTTCCAGGTGCACCTGCAGAGCCTTCCCTACCCTCCAGCAGATCAAAACTCCAGCTGAACTTAAGTGTTACCTGCACACTGACTGAGGGCGTGCTCAATACCCTCATCCAGATCATCAATAAAGATAGTAAACAGGACTGGCCATTCACCACCACTCTTTGGGCTCAGTCATCCACCCAGCAAACACTGCACCTGTCCAAGTCATGAGCAGTCATTTTCTCCAAGAGAACGATGTGGGAAATGGTGTCAAAGGCTTTACTAAGTCCAGATAGACAACATCCACAGCCTCACCCACTACGTGGATCACCCTGTCATAGAAGGAGATCAGGTTAGTCAAGCAGCACCTGCCTTTCCTTAGGACTTGTTGGGACTTCATTGCTGGCCAGCTGAAAAATCAATCATGAATAATAATCTGGGGGCCATACCAAGATAGGAGGCTTTCTCTTCACATCTTTAATCTGGGCCCCAGTGAAGCAGCAGACCTCCCTAAGAAGTATGTCTGTTCTACATATTGGGCCTTCTGATCCATTTGGAAGGGAGTCTCTTATGAGAATGGCCTGTCTTTATGGATGCAGTTTTGACACAGGGCATATACAGCCTCTTGTCTGAGCCTCAGTTGCAGTGTCTGTTTTGCAACTAGGATGCTACAAAATGGACCTAATTTGTCAGGTCTGCTAACAAAGGTGATGATAAAACCTTCAGCCATCAAAAAAGTTCCAGTACACACCAAGTGGGTTTGTCCAGCTCATGCAGCAACAGCTTCTCAGCTACCTGGCCCCAAATCAATACCGCATATGTACTCTGCTAAAACTGCCAGATGGCAGCATGGAGACAGCTTCAGAAGCACTCAGCCTGGAGACAAATCCTTCCGTGCCCATGGGACTCTTCCTCACACTTCCATCAAAGCATAGCAGCTTCAGTTCCCTGTAGCACATGCCCTAGTCTTAGCTGGATTAGGGCTGGTTTTCCCAATGGACTCTGCTTTTCTCTACTAGTCCTGTTGGCTGTAGCACTGATACACACAGTAAATACCTTGAAAAGCAAAGGGTAGCATGGTTAACTTGGCAGACCAGCCAGTCAGTGTGAAGCAGAGGACAGTGAGTAATAAAGCATACCACCCCCAGCAACAGCAGAGAAAAAATGCCAGTTGCCACTGAGATTCACAGACCTGCAAGCACAGAGCTTTACAGTTTTCAGGCATTCTTATACCAAAAGGCACCAACCCAATGACTTTGTTACTGCTACATGTTTTTAAACTTTCTTGCAGTTGGCCATGCACCCTGGCTATGATCAAATCCAACTCTTTATAGGGTTCCTGGTATCACCTCCAACCAAGAATCTGGACTGTAAATGTCAGATTACAGTCTCCAAATGTCTGCACCTCCTCTCCCCAACAACTGACTGACAATTCAGTTCTCCATCTGCTCCAGCCTCAGGCTTTGCTTTGCTACACTTAGTTGAATCCCTATGCCTCTATCTGACATGAGTCTGGTGGTACCTCCACTCTGTTCTTGGAAGCTGAAATTGTCTTTCCTCTCAGATGAGTACCTGAGAAGGCCAGAAAGATTCCTGGTATTCTTATGGCCACTGCTGTCACCCCTGAAGTGCCATTGGTTTGGTGCCTGTGCCACCCCATGAGTGCTCAGAGAAGTAGATTAGTGCAATTCTCCTACCTTTGTGTATGAGCTAGTGAGCAGGAGTGGGAATTGATGAGGTTAGAGTTACAAGCTACAGTCCCATAATCCATGATCTGATTGCTGCCTTGGAGTCTCTGCAACAACAGTCACAAGTCACCAGGCCAGAAAATATGAAGGCAAATAGGGAAGGAAATGAAAGCAGAGGAAAATAAGACAGAGGAACAGGCAAAGGAAGAAATCAGTAAAATCACCCAAGCATGTGTAAGGCAGCTGTGCCACACAGGAAAGCTCAGGTACCTGACTCTGTCAGAGTTCTCCACAAATGGCAGCACATAATGCCTAAGCCTAGCTGGCTGCTCCTATGGCTGAGGCTTCCATCTTAGTGCAGAACACTAGACTCAGCCTACCTTCAGCTGGCTGAGCACCTGCAGTTGGTTGTTAGGCTTGAGGTGAGCTCAGCTATGTGGAGGCCACATTTGGGGCTGCGGTGTGGTGTCCATCATGACTTCTTCAGGGTATGACTCCTCAGGGGGAAGGAGCTGCCAGTGAGGTTTTTGACTGACAGATCTGTTACCTCACATACATCCCTCTGGTTCTTACTACTGTTAGTTCTGGAGGCTTTCAGGATTATAAAAATGACACCTGCACCTCCTTTGCTCTGGTCTCAATGCTCTTCCCCCTCCAGAAGCAAGCTTTTATGATTGTATTTAGACTAAAAAGATTTATATTAAAAATTTCTTTAAAATGTAAAATTCATCTGGTGAGAGAAATGTCTGAGAGAGGGAAAAGACCTTACTACTAGTAGGCATCACCTTCACTGCCAAGGACCTCAGGTCCTTGCCTGGGCCTTCCATATTTGAGTTATAAATGAAGTCACAGTGCCACCAGCACCTCTCATTACAACCCTGCTGCCTCAGGGCTTGTTTGGCCTTACAGTTCATCTTCTGCCTTTGACTTCAGAAGTGTTCATCCAGGGATACAAGCAGTTTGGTGTGTATCACAGACTAGTCTTTACCCCAGCCCCGTGCTTAGCTAAGTGTGTTCCAGTTAGCCGCATTCAAACCAGGACTCTGCAAGAGCGGCTGTCTTCTAGCTTTGGTCCTGTAGACCATGATGCTCACCACTGCTAAAATCAACCAGAGTTGTAAGCATCAGAGCAGAAAAAAAAAAGCAGGAATTCTTTTTAAGTTATGATAACAGGGGAGAGAGGAGTCCTTTACCCAAACTGGATAAGCTGTACTCTTTTATCCTACCTTTTGCATTTTTGCTCAGATAGTGCAATAAAAATAAAACTAAAATAAAAATTCAAAGGCATATTTTTGTAATTGAAAATCCACCTTCCTAAGCAGCTGGTCGGAGCAGAGCTGCTGTACTAATAGCCTTGCCCACAGCACTGTGCAAAGTGTGGGGAGCCAGGCTGCTCAAGTCCTCATTTGGGCTTTGTCACTAGCTTCCTCCAACCACGTACACTGAACCCCGCTTGGCAGCTGAGGGCAAGGAATAAGAGGAATAACCTGCCACCCTAGGGGCCTGGAATAATAGTTACTCAGCTTTAAAAAAGGGCAAAGCACTGAAGGACTGAACACGTTGTCAGGGGAGGGAAGCAAGCACAGCACTGTCCTACATCTGGCCCTAGCCGATATGAAAATATGTGAAGCCTTGCAGACTCCCAGAGGACCAGAGCTCACAGATTCTGCATGACATTAACAGTGAGCAAAAGAAACCTCAGCAACTGCCAGAGCTGGGATTACATCCACCTGCCTGAAAACGTCAAGGAGCTTCCCCCAAAAGCCAGCCCCTTTCCTAGAAAGGAGAAAGGCTGGGTGTTGTTCCTAACTAATAGCAGGGGCAGGGACTGAAGGGGGGTTTACTCACTGTCTTTTCGTTTTCTGAATTAGCCTGCTGTCTTCGGAGATCTGCCTTAATGAATGCTGGAACAGAGGGAGGAAGAGAGATATGAAGGCAGTTAAGTCACCATACAGAGCCCAAATCAATTTCTCCAGGACTCAACTGGGCAGCAGAGGCCCCAGAAGAGACAGGAACACATTATGGTGAGCAAGGGAAACCACTCTTCTGGACAAGGCTGAGAACACTTCTGAAACAGGAAGGATAGAGATTCCTTATTGCAGCATGTAGAAGGTACAACTTTGAGACCTCAACCAGCAGCCAGGACAAGAAGCCTTGAATCTCCTTTGTTACACGGACCAGATGCTTGAAGAACAACGGTATTCCTATGGGACTGCTGGGTGGGTTCTGCCCTTTCCTGCAGGCACCACTGCACACAAAAGCCCTTCAATTCATATGCCAAGCCCAAGGAGAAAAGTCACCGCAGAAGAACACTAAAAATTTTAATTACCTGTCATAACAGTCCCCAGGAACAGAAAGGAACAAAGAAAGATGTTTCCTGCCTTCGTTCCAAAGCGATCCATGATTTGCCCTTGGCCAATGGTGAAGGCAATACCAAAAATCTACAAACAAACAAAGGAAGTGTCAAGCTTGCTGTTACTATAAAGCACTACAAACAGCTTCCCAGCTTTACCAAGTATTGGAGCACACAGACCAGCCAAGCAGTTGGCCTAGTGAGGCTAAAGTTTGGTGATAAATGCATCCAGAGCACCTCTATGCAGCTGGTGGGATGAAAGATGACCCTTAAGGCCGGAACCCCATCTCTCACTGGAGAAAAAACAGGTCCTAGGCTGTTAGGAGCAATGTTGGAAAAGGCAAGGATGATTGGCATTCTGATGAATTTTCTTAAACAGAAACAGAATGGGTACCAGTAGAGAAATGCCATGAGGAACATCATTCAAAAATCCTGGTCCTGGGGTGCTTAGATCTGCAGTACATCACAATAATAATGGTCAAGATATAGGAATCAAGGCTTGGAGCTACAATTTAATCTCTCTGCCTAAAAAGAGGCAAGCAAAGGCAACACAGCATACCTACCTGTGCTGAGACATTAAGCAGCCCTGATGATGTTCCTTCTGATTCTGGATATGTCAACTCCACAGCAAACTCAAAACCCAGGGGAAGGTATCCTGTCATGAAAAACCTGTAAAGGAGCACACAGAAAACAACTGCTGGAAGGAAGACTGAAGAGGCACAGTGTAGCACGTAACTCTGAGGGGCATTGCCCCCAGCACAGTCTAGCAGCCACTCAGGCCCACGTGCTTTTCATTTCTGTCCATTGGTCAGCTATGGGGCTGTGGTAGCACTCGTTTTACAAATGCTTCCACAGGATTACCTGGAACAAGCAAGTCAGCTGAAGCTGAGCAGGGTCACAATAATGTCCGTGATTCTAACAAACCATATGCAAGTGAGAGATGGGAAGACCAGATCATTTTGTCCTTAAACTATGCAGGAGTCATACACATGCTATGGCTCCTCCCAGTCCCTCCTGCACCACAAGCTCTGCCTCTCTGCTCATGCCCTAGCAGCTCACATGTTGAGGAAAGCAGCCTGCAAATGAACTTACCCCAGCATGCCAGCAGTCATGAAGACCACCCAGAGGTGACCTAGGTTCAGAGTGAAGGTGTAGACTATCATTCCCACCATAGACATGATATAGACGACTAGTGTTGTCTGCCTGCAAGGAAAAGCAGTCAGGATTTTACTTAATCCAGTTCCCCTTTTTGCCCACAGATTGTGGTATAGCATACGGTTAAAAAAATATTCAAAAAGTTGCACAGCTCTCTTAACACTCATACCCCAGACAGAGGAACTGTACTGACAGAGAGCACAGAAGGGCCTGCACACACAGCAGGGCAGCAGGAGAAGGAAGAACAAGACCTAGGAGTTTTCGCATCCCTACCTCATGACCATGAGCTTTGCTCCCTATGGGGTCAAGACATCTATAAGGAACCACCTATGAGGCAGCCAAGAAACTCAGATCCTACCATAGGCTGACAGGTCCCTGGTCATGTACTATACAGGCCACTTGAAGGGCAGAACAAGAGCCAAATAAAGAGATCATTAGTTTTTCTTGGGCAACCTCTGTACTATACCCAGTTGTACATGCTTATTTATAAGCAGAAGCCAAGGAGACTGAGAACTCTCAAGCAGGAAAGAAAAGGGAAGAGGTGTCAACACTGCTACAGTCTTAGGAGCCTGTATTTTTCAGTGCTGTGCAAAGCAGCTTTCATTGCTGCTTCTTTCTGTTGTTTAAACTGCCTACTGTATTTGGAGAGATGATGTGCAAGCCAGGTTGCCCTCACAGCCTCACCCTCAAACCACAGGAGCATTTAGCAAAACTAGTGCTAGTTCCACAGCCAACTGCAGCTGAGCCACAAGCTCTCATCTCTGTGCAGAGGAGACAAAGAGACCCTGTGCTCAGGAAGCATGCCAGGCAGATTCTGGAAACAGCCAAACCTACAGCCAGGCCACACGAAGATCATCAGTGAACTCAGCACTGCTGAGACACACGCAGCAGCCCGGGGCCAGCTTTAGCAGATCCAAAGCATTAGCAATTGCCATCCTTGAATAGACACCGAGGAAACCCTTCCCACATCAAAAAAAAAAAAAGGCTCTTTCTAGTACAAGCGGCAGCGAGTAGCTAGCTTGCCACTGTACATAGCTTTCAGGAGGGAGAGGAGGGAGAGGTAAATCCTTTACCTGACCGAAATTCCACCAGGATTTTGAAAGTAGAACAGTTACCAGAGATGATAAAACCTTTTGGCGATTGTCTTTTAGGAAGAAGTTAAATGTATAACCACAAGCTACTCGTGTACTTTCTACCAAATTTTAGTCTTAATCCATTAAGAAATGTGTTTGGTATGAGTTTCTAGAATCCTCCTGAAGAAACTAAATCTCAAACTATTTTCTCTTTTCCTGTATAAAGCAACTGACCACTGTGTAAAATCCAAGCCCAAACAGGCAGCCAGTATTACAATGTGTAATAAAATGTTTCCAGTATACTGAATTATTACAGATAAATCCAGACTGTTCCAGCTAAGGTTCTGAGCTCCCTCACTGCTGCACTGACTGCAGTCAGTGGGGCTCATGCTCATATGTCAATTCGTATCCAAACACAGGTCTGAGAAGTTAATTTCAGACTTTAGCTAATGATCCATACTTGCAAAGGCTCAGCAGACACATTTAGTGTATTGAAAGGCTAAACAATATTTTGTTGTGACAAGTAATTTTGTTGTGTATCAAAGGAGTAGTCAAATCCCTCAACCTCCAATGCTGTATCATTTCTAGAATATGTTCTTTCCAGTGTTTTCACAGAGGAAAAAAGTCTTCTGTGAAGGCAGCATAAAGGGGCTGTTTACTTCTGCTATAATGCATTGCAGCTACATAGCTGGCACACAGCCTGGAGGCTGCAGAAGGAGAAGAGCTGAAAGAATGACAGTGCAGTTACACATCAGCCCAAGAAAGTGCAAGATCAGCAGGTAAAAGCCTTTTTCTGCTCAATAGAGGTTCCTCAGTTGTCTCTCACGAGTTCTTATGCCTCCCATCCCTTGACAAGCAGCCATGGAGGAAAGAGATTATTAGGAAAGGAGTTCAAAGCTAGAATTACAGCTCTGTACTTGGGCTGCATGGACTAAGTTTGAATTGGGTATTCCTTCCATAAACAAGAGTCTCCATACTATGTATCAGTCAGTGCTAAAATACCATGCAGGCCTCCAAGAGGGGGCCATGGCCCTAAGAAGTTTAGTTACTGCCAGCAGGGACAGAACACAAATTCAGTTAGGTTGGAAGGGACCATAAAGGGTTATCTGGTCCAGCCTCCCTACTCTAGGCCATCCTAGAGCACATGGCTTAGAACTGCATCCAATGGTTCTTGAATACCTTCAGTGAGGGAGAACCTCTGGGCAATCTGTTCAGTACTCAGCAACTGCACAGTAAAGAAGTTCTTCCTTGTATTCAGGTGGAACCTCCTGTGCATCAGTTTTTGTCCATTACCTCTTGTTTTACTGGTTTCCACTACTGAGTAGAGCCTGGCTCCATCATCTTGGCACTTCCCATTTGTATACTTGTATACATTAATGAGGTCCCTCCCAGTCATCTCTTCTCGAGAGTGAATTATCTTCCTCACCCTCTGCTGGACCTACTCCAGGAGCTCCATGTCCCTCTTGTACTGAAAAGCCCAGAACTGGACACAATACTCCAGGTGCGGCCTCATGATGGTTGAGTAGAGAGAGGCAGGATCACCTTCCTCGATCTGCTGGCAATAGCCTTCTTAATGCATCCCAGGATTCCACTGGCCTTCTTGGCCACAAGGGCACACTGTTGGCTTATGGACAGCTTATTGTTCACCAGGACACCCAGGTCCTTCTCCACAGAGCTGCTCTTCAGCAGGTCAGTTCCCAACTTGTACCAGTATTTGGGGTTGTTCCTCCCCAGGTGCAGGACCTTGCACTCATCCTTGTTGAATTACAGTTGGTTCTTCCCTGCCCGACTCTCTAACCGGGTCTGTCTGAAGTGCAGCACAGCCTCTGAGGTATCAGCCACTCCTCCCAGTTTTGTATCATCAGTGAACTTGCCAAGAAGGCAACTCTGCCCCCTCGTCCAAGTCATTGATAGATCAGTTGAACAAAACTGGGCCCAGTGTAGAACCCTGGGGGACAGCACTAGTGACAGGCCTCCAACTAGACTCTATGCCACTGCTCACAACTCTCTGGGATCTACCACTCAGCTCGTTCACAACCCACTTTACTGTCCACTCGTCCAACCCACACTTCTTAAGTTTTCATGGGCACTTGGCTGCAGAAAACAGCCTCAAGCAGACTTATGCCAAACCAGACTTTACCAAGACCCTGCTTCCCTGAGCATATCACTGATGACAAAAAAGGAGACGTAGTGCTCAGCAGTTCAAGCAAGACACATAATTTTGAAGAGGGTTTAACTGAGACGCAGGCAGACACTGGTGTGCAGGCATCTAGCAGTAGGACAAGAGGGCACAGACTCAAGCTCTGCCGGGGGAGGTTTAGGCTGGATATTAGGAAGAGATTTTTTTACAGAGAGAGTAGCCAGGCATTGGAATGGACTGCCAGGGGAGGTGGTGGATTCACCATCCCTGGAGGTTTTCAAGACGAGACTGGATGTGGCACTTAGTGCCATGGTCTAGTAATGGCAGTAGGGTTGGACTCGGTGATCTTTGGAGGTCTTTTCCAACCAGGTTGATTCTGTGATTCTATGACAGGGAAAAAAAAACACCCCAGGGAAATACGCCGAGGGAGGGTGTTTCTCAGGAAGTGGCCTTTGTCACCATGTTCACTAGAGACAAGAATGCTCTGTGGCCCTAGGGGCACCAGGGCATGGCATAATGCCCAGTTTTTCTTAATAAGCCTCTTATCATAGCCATAAATCTTATGGGAGTGAGAAAAGCACAAAGGAGGAGGAAGCAGATTCACAGAGGACGTTGGCACTGCATTCTGGTATTTTTAGCAACCTGTTTCCATGATGGCCCTACAGGGACTGATAATTATTGTCTGGAACAGTCTCCATAACAGGCTGACTAGTGCAGTGAGCGCAGGCTGGAAATTAGGCATCCTGCTACACCACCTTAGGAAAATTTGGCTTAACCCACCTCTGTGCTCTGGGGTGTGGAAGGAAGTCCAGTGTACCCATGTGGAAGAATTGTTACAAAAGCACCAGTGCCAAGTCTCTGTGGCAGAGCCAGAGGAGATCTGTGAAGGAGCCGACATGCTTGTCACTTAGATGAACTCAACCTGCCCTGACATTCATCTGCCCTCCCAGCCACATCCTCTACCCTTACGAAGAGGCAGATTAAAAAGCTCACACAAGGGACTGTGAGAAAATAGAGACCTTGGGGAAAAATGCCAGACAGGGCCAGTGCCAGCAGGGAACAGGACTGAAATGAAGAACACAATTGCCCCAGAGGAAGCCTCAGAGTAAGAAACAGGCATGACCCAGTCCAGCCTTGTCTCACAAGGTCACTTGGTTGAGGAAAGCCAAAGTGACAGGACTAGACTCACAGGGGACTGCAGCTGCGAAAACACTAGAGTCAAGCAACATCTGAAGCAACAAATGAACAAGCTTGGGTGGGAGAGAAGCAGGGGGCACAGCCATGTACAACAGTTTTAGCTGCTCACTGGGATATTGTGTGCAGCTCCAGAATGCTCTGCAGTACAGACTGGGATGACAGATGGCCTCCACAGATTTAGCTATGAGGACACCACATTCTAGGCTGCACAAGACCCCGAACAAAGGCTTGTCCCTATGCTCACAGAAGGATCCCATTGCCAAAGACACTAAGGTGTCAGATGCTGGAGAAGGGAAGAATTGGAGAAGGCTGGTTTGGTATTCACCACCCACTCATCCTTTGGCACTTGGCTTCATGCTACTTTCTTTCTGTATGAAGGCCACAAAAAAGGACAGCCTAGATAAATCACTTATGTAAAACATATGACAGGACAGGGTGAAGACATCTCCTCTACACAAGGACTAACCTGGAAAAGGGCTACATCAAGAAGGCCCAAACTGCAGGTCAGGCTAGGCTGCCCCATTCTCCACTATCCAAGTCTTTCCTTCCTCCCCCAAATTTTAATGCACTTTGGACCTGTACAGACCTAAGCTGAAAACACCACTTGGGGCCCTCTGCCTACTCAATGGAGAGAGATGGATATTTCTGACATCTTGCCTTATGCAAGATGACATCTTGCCTTATGCAGCAATGACAACAGAGAGCACTGCCTGCAACCAGCTGGACCCAAGGCCATATGAACATTGCCTTTAAAAACAAAGCACAGCCAGAGAGAAGTGATGATTAATTCAGTCCCCAAACACCACATTCCAAGCCAGACTGCCTTACAAATACCAATATATCAAGAAATCTCCATGTGTCACAGCCCCATCTCTCCTCTGAGCCAGGAACCTGAAGGATGTATATGGAGCCCCATTTAACTTGGTGTCAAAACTTGAAAGGTCCTATCCTAAATGACTCTATGACTCTAAACTGCGTTCTTTCAAAGAGTTGGGCTGTTCTCAATGAGTCATACCACCAGACACAGCCCCAGTTCTGACACCGCTTGCTTGTCACAATATAACTCATGTATTTATTTGTATGGACCAAATTTGAGCCTGCTAATTCCAGAAACAAGAACAGTGCAGGGGCTGCTGCAGGGACTTCCCTGCCAAATAAAAGCAAGAGTGCAAGGCCATTTGGTGCCTGAGCATGACAGATGGGGAAAGCCTGACTTAGCACAGCCTCTCCCTTTCAAGGAACTGCTGATGGTACAGTAAAGATCAAACACGCACGCAGAGCTCTGCAATTCCTTGTGTTATTAACCTTCCCCTGCTCCCTTCAATCACAGCTGGATCCCATTCATTTGCTTTCCTCTCTCTCCAAGCTGACTAAAAAAAGGACTTGATATCTTTCCTTCCTGATTTTCACGTGCTTACCATTTCATGCTTGATGCTATCTCAGCAGCGGAGGGCAGGGGGAGGGTACTTACCTAGAACATCTGGCATCTTGACAGTTTTTTTAAATAGACTTTTAAATGGGGCTAAATAAAGACACTGTAGCACTCAGAAAAAAATGTGCTAGTTTCACAGAAAACCATTTTGTGGGCTGCAATGGAGAATAAATTCTTAGCAGTGTTTTTCCTCACCTAAAGCTAAATCTATCCCCACATAGTTCCTGGGGTCTGTAGGATAAATTCCATGGATGGCATGGTCCTATTTTCCTGCACTGTCAGCCAGTTCTGCCTACCTACATGGTCCCCCAAGGAAGCAGGGGACATGGAGCAAAATACAGGATTTGTTGGTTTTCCCTCTCTCCCATTCTGCCACATTTCCCATCTCTGCCTGGTGAGCCACAAAGCTCTTCAAGCCTTCATGCTGCAACATAGCCTCACTTATGGACAATCAGGAAGATCATCCAATCCAGCAGTGCCAGTTGAGGCTACCTTCCCACTAGCCCCAGGCTGGAAAGAGACACAAGTCACATTGCATGCTTAGCTAGTGCAGTTCTAACAGCTGTGTTTCTATTTCTCAGGCTGCCAAGTAAGAACTACTCAGTGCCACACAACCATCTAGAAACAGCAACAAACAACCTGCCAGTCTCTGTATTAGTCATCTGCTCCTCTTTCCCAGCATCCAGGAGTCCTCAGCTACCATCCTTTCTTATTAGAGAAGCCAATTTTCTCTCGACTTTTTACCTTACAGGTAGGGCCAGAGGCCACTTCAGAAGCTGCATGCCGACAGCTAGCCAGATTCATCTAAGCTATTTATAAAGAGAATGTGTTTTTCTGGCCCAAGATATCAGGTAGGATAAAGGCAGTAGGATTCCCCCAGATGAAAAGCTGCTGCAAAGAACTCTGAAATAGCCTTCAACTCATTGTCAGCACATCAGCAGTAAAGCCCCCTCTACCCAGCCATCTCAGATAACAGGTTATAGCACAGTTCTCAAAGCCAGCAGGGAAACCAAAAAGCTGATTATATGGATCCCAGAGTAACACATGAGAGGTTCTGTCCAACCTCTGGCATATCCTACATAGGTCGGACAGTGAGATCTGAGTTCCTGAGGACTGGGAGCTGCAGGACAAGCAAAGACTGTCAAGTGTCCCTTTGCAGATGGCAGGGTATGCTGGCCAGATCTGCCTTCCCAGCCTGCCAAGCAGCAAACCTAGAATCATCCACCCGCAACCCCAGTAACTCTTATGCCTGCCCTAAATACAGCAACACACTCTCACGCAATGTCTCTGGGCACGGGATTCAATGTGCCTTTCATTAAGCTGGACAAAGATTCACAGAAGCTGGTTTGTAAGGGCTGAGAAATGGTCTGGTGTAGACTTGATTCTGCTTGTGCCAAGAATTCTCTCATCCCTGACAAAGCAGCTGCTGGGCCATCTCATCCTCTGCCTATGCCTCCCTAGGTACCACTGGAACCAGACCTTGTATGGGCCAGTGCAGATTAACACATGACTCCAAACTTCACTTCAGAGTAACTGGATTTTGAAGAACAGCATTTTTTCCCCTAGGAATCCTCCCAATGATTAAGTTGCCAGACTGACAACTTGCAACTGCACAGGGTTGCTCCTTGCACAGTACAGGGGAACAGCACAGTCACCAGGGGCACAGAGGCAAACAAGGGACTTACTTGTAGGTTTTGGTTCTGTCCAACCAGATGCCGGAGATCAGAGCCCCAACCATCCCGGAGAGTACAATGGTTAGTCCAATCCTGCCAGCATTCACCTCCTCCCCCTGTGGTGAGATACACACACTCACACAAATGCAGGAGTTAAGTCACAGACAACAAAAAGCAAAGTGCAGAAAACCCAGAGAGGAAGAGACACCAAAGTTAGTATCCACACATGACTTCTGCTGGTAACAAGCTAATCAGAACTAGCCTTTGCAAGAACACTTTTGAACCCACTATGAGGCAGTGCATTCTAGTCCACAAAGAAAAGTGGTCTGGCACTTCTCTCTGAGCTAGCCCAGAGAAAAAGGTGTGCACTGGCCAGCATGAACAGATACTCTCAGAGGAGTCAGCGTAAACCCTATGAAGCTTGCTGTCTGGTGTTAGCATCTGGGCCAGATTGATTAGGAAATACTGGGACCCATTATAAGGCAGCACAGAAAGAAGCAGACTGGCACACAGCACCAGCAGTAAGCTCTACAGTTGCTCAGGTACTGAGGCATCCCCACCCTTCTTCCACCAGAGCATGACTGTAGGCAGCCTCCTGCAACAGATGTCCCAGTAGAAATCACAGTCACAAACAGGGTGCAGGCATTGCTGGAAGATTTTTTCAGAAGAAAATGCTTTCATTCAGTGTGCAAAGGAGCTGTCTTTGCTAGAGCTCACCAGCTTTTGCATGGGGTGATGTAACAAAAAAAAAGGAACCAATGCTCTCCTGCCAGCCAGCCAACTTGTGCCAGAGCCAGACAGGAGTTATGTGACATTGCATTTCTCACAGACTCTCCTTTGGCAGAAAGTGCTGGAAAACAGCAAGCATCAGAGGGCCATGAGGGCTGGATACACTTACTGGGTAGTGATGGATCAAAAATTCAGCAGAGAGGGCGTAGAAACAACCTGTATTGAGACCTGAGAGAGGGGAAAAAATGCAGCACATTCAGAGCCTGCTACTCTCCTACTGGATTGTGAAAAGGTAGAAACGCAGAGAGAGAAATCTTTGGGAGCATCAATCCAGATCAAGGCTGCCGAGTCTCAGAGGAGTCAGCCAGACTGGCTAAACATAGGTCATTGCAAGAAATGCAGACCAACAACATCACCTGTATTGAGACCTGAGAGAGGGGAAAAAATGCAGCACATTCAGAGCCTGCTACTCTCCTACTGGATTGTGAAAAGGTAGAAACGCAGAGAGAGAAATCTTTGGGAGCATCAATCCAGATCAAGGCTGCCGAGTCTCAGAGGAGTCAGCCAGACTGGCTAAACATAGGTCATTGCAAGAAATGCAGACCAACAACATCCAGACCTCAGCATGCAGGAGGAAGCACCCTGCAGTTTCAGGGTGGTTCTTACCTTACCAGCTAGAGGAAGGGCTGTGCATATTTCTGGTACTGAAAGAACTTGCAAGTCCTTCACAGAGTCTCAACCCTCCCTCACAGCCAGATCCATCTTTAGCACTGGAATTTTGTCCTCCCCCCAGCCAAGACAGAATACTAGAAAAGCATCTGCCTCAGCATCACACCTTTAACAAGGACCTGGGATTCAACAAACAACAGTGTCATTGACCTGTGTGTTTTCCTCCCAGAGAAAAGCCTGATAGCATTCTCCCTGCTGACAGCCAGTAAAAAACACTCTCTCCAAGCCAAAAACCACCAGAAGGCAAGCAGGAGCAGAGCCAATGGTGAAGCACAGACAGTATTACCCCCAGACACCTGGGGTATGTGTCTGCATGGGAAAAGTCTTACATTTTAAAAGATACCACCGAGGTCTGAAAAAAAAAAAACCATCTGTGAAAGTAATTGAAAGGGAAGTTGGATTAACTGTTACAGGCATCAGCCACCTGGTGAAGGTTTCTCAGTATCACCCAAGGTGAGAATGAAACTTGGGGTGATACTGGTCAAGCCCCATCCAGACACTCTGCTTCAGCTTATATGCAACTCTCATTGGTTAAACACCTTCTCAAAAGGGCACAAAACCCAAGAGCTTTGCTTATAGTAGGCAATAACATACACGTGTGCGCTGGACCTGCAGCACTGCAACGGCTAGATTCTCACCTTCGGTGATACTGAGAAACCTTCCCCAGGTGGATGAGGTCTGTAACAGTCGGCACAACTTTCTTCTCAGAAAGTCATTTACATTTTCAGTTGGCTTCTCTTCGAGGCTTCAGTGGTCCTGATGGGGGTAAGGGTGGGGACACAGACTTCACCACTGCAGCTCACACATCTAGAGACTCCATAAGGAGGCATAGGTTTAAAAAGTCTGTCTCAGGTGCCTGAAATCCTGACAGAACAGACACATGTCAAGTTTCCACTTCCTACTTTTCCTCTTTCACCCTCACCTAAAAGCAAAAATGTACAGTGCAGGATAGGGAAGTGCAGTCTAGCAGGCAGCACTTTGACACAGGGAACAAACCACTGAGCTTCCCTAACCCTGAAGTTCTCTAGCTCTCCTGACCCTTAAGTACTCAGCAATCCTGCACCTAGCCCACTCCTCCACTGAACACTGGATACCCATTGCACTACACAGCTCATGGGAGCACTAAGAAGAGTCACAAGATTGGCAGCTGGAGGGCACATCACACGTCCTTCACATGCCATCTCTGACAACATAACAATTTACTGTGAGGGTGGTGAGACACTGGAACAGCTTGCCCAAAGAAGCTGTTCCAGCCCTGGAAGTGTTCAAGGCTAGGCTGAAAGGGGTTTTCAGCAATCTGGTCTAGTGGAAGGTGTTCCCACCTACAGCACAGACCTTAGAACTAGATGATCTTTAAGGTTCCTTTCAACCTAAACCATTCTATGATTAAACAGCTCCACAGTTTCATGGCACAGACAACAAATGAAGACTTATGCAAGTGATCCCAAATAAGCCAACTGCCTGTAACAATGCTTTCTGCTTCAAAATCATTTCAGAAGGTTACAGGAGAGACTAGTAAATTGAATGGCATGCTCTTTAGGCAGGAGGAATCCACTCAATCCTTTTCAAGAATTACTCAGAAAGACTGGAAACTCCAGCAGGGCTAGGAGGCAGAGATGGGGGAGAACAATTTGAGCTCTCACTGCAAGGAGGCGCTCTCCAGCCTTGAAAGCTGTCTCTTTGCAACACTTGGCTATGCCAAAACAGCCCACAAGACCCAAATGCCGCTTCATCTTATCTCTGCCTCTGGAGCACCCCACTCACTAGGAGACACCACAAACTGCAGAGCCAGGACATGGGAGTATTGCAGATCTGCACAGCCCCTCTGCTGCTTCACTTCAAAGCTGGGCATATAGACCAGTAATTTGTGCATCTCTATTTCTCACCCAGCCAAGAGGATAGCAGCCTTGTCAAGACAGCCAGATGCTGCTCTGGTAGCTCATGCTGCCAGTAAGTAGCTTCACAGCAACTCTGTGATACATTTCCAAGACAGACAAGGGCCCCTGCTCCCAAGCTGAGTAGAAAGTAATACAGAGTTGGCAGCAACACTTGGCACCAGAGTCAGGCAAAATATTCTAAGAATCAAGACAGTGTGCCAAATTTGCATATGTGAGGGCTGACAAAAGTTGCAGGCGCTTTATATGTCACAGTTGCTCAGTGAAGTTTCTCTGATAATTACAGCTGTTTAAATGCCCGTAAAACAGGCAATGGTTGTTTCCAACAGGGCAGTGGCCATTTGCCCAGGCTGATGAGGAAAATCAGAACTAGTATCTGGGAGCAGGACATCTGAAGGTTCAGCCCCACCTGATTCATTAGCTAGTTACCATGGTTTGCTTGTAATGTGCTGTAGAATAACATTTTTGAGATCTCAAAGTGTCTCCTCTATTTTATAGAGGCCAAAACAGGGAATTTTATTACCTATAGCTCCAATAGTAGGCTTTATTAAGCCTCAGACTAGAATCCGGGTCTTCTATAGATAAGCAGTCTCTTGGTCTCTCTCTTCTTCACCCTTGTAATTCTACAGGACAATGGTTCCTTATGCAGATATCTCTGCCCTGCCTCCTCCTCACTGCCCCATCACCTTTCCAAATGCTGGTTCTTTGAGACTGTCTCATCACTCCTACTTTACCAGCCTTTCCCACCCTTTTCCTGCCTACAACCTCCCAGCAGCAGCATGCTCTCCAATGGAGAGCCCAACCCAGTAAACTCAGTTTCTTAATGTCCATTCCATGTTATACCTCAACTTCATGAAAGCAGCATCAGTAGCCTTGAGCAAAAAGCTGTCTGAGGGCTTTCCTGAAAAACAATTCACTAGCACTGTCATAGCTGCAGTGCCACCAACATTTCCAGCACTGCAAGTCTTATCACAGGAAAGGAATTGATGGCTACTGCAATATCGCAAGCCCTTGGAGGTCTGCGGACCTGTTCTGACCTGGCATCGTGGAAGGGTCCCCATTTTTTCTCCAGCCAGAGGAGATGAACAAGCAGCAAGTTTCCCCCTCTCTCCCCTGACATGAATTATGCTAACACAAAAGCTGAGAGGCTGCAGGTATCTTTGTTAGTTAGACAGGATGAGTCAGTTGCACTCATGTGGCTGCAGCTGTCTTGGTCAACGTAATTTTTGACTTGAGTAGGAAGAATTGTCCCCATTTTAAAGCCAGACTAGTCAAAAAAAAAAAAAAAACAAGTTTCACTGCATAGTTCCCTCTCTGAGTAACAGTCACCATCTTAAGTCAAGTTGGAGACAGACATGAAGCTGACACAGAGAGAAACAGAATAAATGCACAGACCAGCAGGAAGAGAAAATGAATTACGAGCCACTGAACAGCCTTACCACACTGTTTGTGACTGCCACAAGGGAATCATCCTAGGAAGGTCAGATTCTAAATATGCTTTTTGTACTGAGAGCACTGCTGTCTCCTCTGGGACTTGTTTATGCCTATCAAACAAGTGCTTTCCCCTCTCTTTTCCCTGAAGGGTAAGTGTGAACTGAGCAGATGACACAATCCAACTTTAGACACAGTCTGCCTGACAGTTTTTTCTCTTTTCACTTTCTGAGAGGGCATTATGTACTATGAAAAAAAAATACAAGCCAAAATCCGCAGCTGCACTGCAAACCAGCAGAGCTAAGGAGCAACCCGAGAGGAGCATTTCTATAAGACTACTGCACTGAGAAGGAAGGGAGCAGAGATTTCAACAACTCCAAAGACCATTAGCACCCTCAGCAGGTACAAAGCCACTGTCTCATTCTCTCCAACCTGGCTATTCATCCACCAGGTCCTTCAGACACAATTGCAGGCAGAATGGCAGAACTTCCACCAATATTTAACTTTGCCCCTGAGGAGCTTCCATAGCAAGCCAATAGGAAGAGTGAGGACGGAATACTCTGCAAACTAGCTGGCTACAGTATACCCTATTACACAGCCACACACAAACCACAGTGGCCTTTCAGCTAAAGAGAAAAACACTTTTCCATACGACAATTTAACATCAGGAACAGATTCAACGTATCACACTGCCCTCAGAAAAACAGACCAAGACTGTGGAAGAGAAGCAAGCAGCAAATTCAGCATGCAAGGACAGATGGCATAAGCTATTCTACAATCCTTCCTTCCATTTGCTTCATAGGGTCTGCCTAGGAAGCTGGCAAAGTCTGCACATCTGTATACTCCACGTGACCTCTACTGGGATGCCTGGCAGTCATACCCTTGCCTTAGGAAATTACTTTCACTCAGTGCTGTGACTTGCACTCAGATACTTCCGTGTATTTCTTAGGTAAGCACTTAGATCAGTTCATTGCAAGTAACTAAATAACTAGGGAAAAAAAAGAACAGGATAAGGAAATTCCCAGAACAGCAAACAGCCAAAGACCCTAAGCATTTGCTTGTAACAACTGCTGGAGTGTACTGGGCTATAAGGATTCCTGGTCTGTGGCAGCACAGCTCCCCTAAAACTCAGGCCAGTTGCTGCCCTAGCAGAGCACAGAGAGGGACAGAGAAGGAGTGACAACTGCACAAGAAGTGCCAGCCCTTACCATAAGTGACCATAAGCAGCAGAAAGTTAGCATTGTGGAGCAGACGGAGGATTGATTGCACGTAGGAATACTCCTCTGTCGGTCTCGACTCGATCAAGGCCTGAGCTCTGCTTGGAGGGTGGAGGGGCTTCTCCTGGAAGACTGAAACCAGACACAAAGTACACCTGTTTGTAATGGTGCATTCAGGGGGCCTGAGCACACACTGTGAATAGAGTCATTTGAGGGATGGCAGACAGGCTTAGTGTACAAAATGTACAAAGTACACCATTGTCTTTAAGCTTTGGTCTTCATGCATGAACTTACTCAAGAACAGGAAAGAACAGGTTCTGTCCAACAATAACTCTTGCTACTAGGGAAACAACTTGTCTTCAATTACCTTTTTCTGTAGGCAGTGCCAGCAGCAACAAAAGAGTTCTCAGGACTAATAATGCCTTCATCTCAAGGAGGATGATGTCCATGTCACAGGGATTAAAAGTGTTACACAGATTTACACATGCCAAAGCAAAACAGGCTAAGACAGTTGGCAAAGGTGGCTTGGTGCTCTGCAGTGCCCAGTGCCTGGGGAGCAGTGACCTGTGCCAGGTATTAGTTCAGGCCTGACACTCATTAGGCTGGCCGAGCCATCTGTTGGTCCTTACTAGCATTAAAGTAGCACTCAGAAATCCCAGTCACAAGTGACATGGTTGTACCAGGTGCTAGACAGCCATTTTTGTACCACAGCTATTCCCTGCCCCAGATTCCTTAAAGTCTACATCTGATTCACCCACAAGCAACATGAACAAGCTGGCAAGAGGAGCCTATAAAAAATTGTATGGAGCTGGTAAGAAAGGCTCCACTCTCCAGTGAGCATGCCAGTCTTTCATGCTAAAGATCTGGCTTCTACTTCATGTATTAAGCAGGGGAATTGTACCTCTGGTGTACTGCTACTGCCCTTAATGCTTCCTTCTGTCCACTCATAACTGGTTACCTTTCCTTCTCCTGGGAACAGCTTATTCCTCTGTTGCCGTATAAATGGCCTCTTTCTTTCTACCCTTAAGAGGTAGTCAGGTCCACGACATAACCAAATGCCTGACACTGTTTGCAGGGAATATGACTGTGAAACGTTGAAGATTTCTGTTGGCTTTTATAGGACTTACTCATGCCAGGGTTTTATTATGCAGGCAAAGGGCGAAATTAACAATTTGGCAGGCTCACTCACAACCTCTTACACTCCTTTGTGCTGTTCATCAAGGGCTTGAAGCAGCAAGATATGGTATTGCACGACCCTGTCAGCTGCATGCTAGGCTATATCCCCAGATGACATCCCTCATGACATCCCTCACCCATTTCCTAGCACACAGGCCCCTCATACACATAGGCCAACCTTCTCAGTCCCACCTGCTTTCATGGCCACACTACCACCTCCTTACCTATGATGACCAGGATGAATAGGGCTGATGCCACACCTGCAGTCATGAAGAACATGATGCTGATGTGGTAGGCCAGCTTCTCCACATCCTCAACATTAGGAACCAGAACTGGAGGGACCAGAAAGCCCAAAGCGATGCCGAGCTGAGCAGGAGGGAGAGAGGATAAACAGAGGCTTGACATGAAACCACAACACAGCTACCACCCCAGAGCTCAGTAAAGGCTCAACTGAACCTAATTCAATTTCACAACCAAGATAAAAATCTTTACCACCCAAAAATTAAGAGATACACCCTGCAACTAGGCTGTAAGAGAGGTGCCCCCATTGCACTTACAACTGTCAAGATATTCAAGGCAAAGTTTCACAACAAAATTGTGCAGAATGAATACCTGCCTCCATCAAAGTGGAAGTCTTGCTTTCCCTGACCTCCCCCATGCATGTATGCTCCTGTCCACACACACATCCCACTCCTTCCTTTGCACCTGCTCTGGTGCTGGCCTGATCACCTGGTAATCCAGTTTTGCTCATTAAAAATGCTAGAAAACAAGAACATCAAAACCCATCACAGTATTTTTCTGGGTTAATTATTTGAACCAATTTATTTTTCAGCCAGACAAGTGCAAGGGCTGAGACTGAAACCTGCCAACTCCTAATGAGTTAGATATTAATCTGGCTCAGCCACTTCAGGACACTGTTTCAAATGAGCACCCTCCCAAGACAAGGCTCACCCTATGACCACTAGGAGAACCTAGGAAAACATCACGGTTGAAAGCAAAGGAAGTGCTGATGGCATGTATCCTAAACGTTGAGGTTGTTTTTGTGATGGGGACTGGCAATTCCCCCTGGATAAAATGCTCCGAAGTGCTGCAAGAAGAAACACTTGCAGCTCAGGCCACTACTGTGCCAAAGGTTCCTCAGCTGAGAAGCCCCTGCAGTGGCAGCATACATCTGAGTGAGGACATGAGGGGTTTTAACTCCACAGCTATTTCTCCAAGACAGTGACAAAGAGATGTAGCTCTTTGTAGCCACAGACTTTGCCACACTGGTAAGTGGGACTGACAGTGACACAGACCTTCAGTGCCCAAATGAAAGAGTGAAGAAATCACTACTTTGGTGCTTACGAGCACACTCTTCATAAAGTGGGAGCCAAAGTGCACTCAGCATATCTGTGAGCACTCTAAACTCAAGAGGTGCCTACAAAAGCCACTCCTTGCCCCCCCCACCCCGAGTTTCACTGTTTGTGTCTGCGTTTCAATCACTGCTTGGTTTCCAAGAGCTGTGTGTTTACCTGTTCTCCCAACCCTTCTCATGTATTTGCAGCCCTCTTGGTCATCAGAAAAAGAGCCATGCTCAAGCTCAGCTCTTGCTTGCCCTCAAGGCTCTGCATGCTCACCCCTGTTTGGGGCAATACTTTTTTTTTTTTGTTTAGCAACACCTTCATTTTTGCTACTTCCTCATTTAAGCCTATGCTTGCTGTTGTGGGCAGTGACAAGGCACACACAAGAATATCCAATGCATAGAAGGACTGAGAAAGCACCCAAGAAAGAAAGATACCAGGTGGCCATGCAGCTTTTCTCATTCATGCTTGAAGCAGACATTTCCAATCTCTTTTTCAGACTGTACCATTTGCCTGGAGTCAGGAAAGAACTAACAGTACCAGAACAGGTCCAGGGAAGTACTAACAGCACCTGTACAGTGCTAACTGAACCAACACTGACTAGCAGCATAAAAAAATCCCGCCCACAGTGGTTATTACTGCTACACCAAGACAGCCTCTATAGACCCACTGCCCTCACCGCACTAAGAGTAAGTGAGGATACAGTCAGATTAAATTCACTGCATTTACTGTTTCCCTATAGGAAATATTAGGTCAATAGGAATTGATTAGCACCACCATGACTCATTGTTCCAGGATAATGGACTGGAGAGGATACTGTTTATGCCTCAAAACAGACTGAATAGCAGCAAGGCAGTCCCACTAGCCCCTAAAGAAGGATTCTGCAGTGTTCAGTGTCTTCATAGTCCCTGGAAAGGGTCTATTACTCTACAAGTATGGAAAGCAAGGACTAAAAAGCCGAGTACTGTGCTGCCCATAAACTACATCAAAGCATGTCAACACACAGAGCAAACAACCCAGAACCCTGTAACAAAGGCATGAATACAGACATATTGCCCAGGCTGCCTTCTAGCAAAATACTGTTGTGCTTTCTGCATGCTTTCTCTGACACATCTCCAAGCTTCTGAGATGCTGATAGACTCATTTTGGAAGATGCACTCACTGGCCAGAACAAATATCTGGCCAGGACAAAGATCTCAGGACAAATACATTTCAGATGCCATATCTGGTAGCTGGAATAAAAATCAGCTTGTGCCATCCAGCCCCAGAAAACTCTCCACAAAATCCCTACTTCTCCATCCAGCTGGTGGATTTTTGAGACAGGAAGAATGCTTATGTTTCAAACAGAGATATATGCTACTCTCAAGTACCCTATTTAGCTTACAAACAAGTAACTTTCAACCACCTTTGGCCAACTTCTCCTGTGTCAGTGCCCTCCACTGGGACCTGGAATAGCCTGGGTCAGGATCAGCAACAGATAACTGTGCTAAATTCATTCTTGGTGCTGGGTCATCACAGGGAGCCAGTGGAAAGAGTCACCAAGAGATTATGTACGTGCCCCACCAGTTCAGGGCACTGTCAGGAATGTGAGCATTTCAAGCTTGGTTACACGGACTGAAGACAGATGGAAGTTGTGCCACCCCAGATGTCAAGTCAAGGACTGAAAGACCTTAGGAGGAAACTAAAGATATTATCTCAGGAAACCTTCCTAACACCCACATGGCACAAATAGCCTCTGACACAGGACTAAACTTGCCAGAGCTCAACTTTGTTCAGACAAGGCCTATCCCCAGCCTCTCGTCACAGCAAGTCAGACCGGCTCTCCTCCTCTGCACTGCCCACCAACTACCAGTGAGCACAATTATCAGCTGGCTTAGAGGCTTCAAACTCTAATCTTCATCAAATTGCATGCCTCCCCCTTCCCTGCACAAGCCTGCAATGGCACGGAAAAGGCAACTGCACCAAACACAGATGGTCACAGAGATCACTCCTAGAGGACACGAGCTTGCTTGTCTCTGAAGCACATTTTGCCCTGCTTGTGGCCAAGTGCAGGCCTGTGGCTCCGGTGTGCCTGGTCAGCCCAGGACACAGCTACCCTGGGCTTCTCTCCTATCTCCGTAGCATTACCAAAGGTTCGACTTCTGAGGAAGACTCTGAACATTGCTCCTTTCCATTCAAGGGAACAGTCCTACTACCTCTTTACATACTGATACCGAGAAGCAGACTGA